GTCATACCATTGCTTGTACGAAGATATTGGTGGTGTGCTCAATTTTTGAAAACAACGTTTCAAAGGTCAAAACTTGCTATTATTTTTCTCTTTTGTTTATATCTAAGTGCTGTTCTACATAGGCTTTTTCAGAAATGCTCCAATATTCCAGCCAGCTTGTATTTCGTTAAAATTCTTATCAATCCTACCTTTACCGCTACTGTTATAGCCTATTAAACTCTACTGATGAACATAGGCCTTCCGCAAAAACTGCCTCATAGGATATATTTGTCACAGTTGCAACGCTTGACAAGCGTGTTGCCAACCGCAGTTTTATTTTTTAATTTTGGTCTTTATTAATAACACGCTGCTCCCTATCTCCCTGTTTATTTCCCTCTGTTGGATTTACGTCACCCGCGGGATGATATGGTGTAGTGGATATTCTTACACCGCCAATAAACGGCTTATCATCATTAGCGAACTGGAATTGGCTACTGCTGCGGCCTGTTACAATTAGCCTCTGAATTGGGTTTTAATACTTTTGATAGATTTTCAGAAATCGCCATCAAGCGGGTGTCAACACCATCTGTATTTGGTCTGTCCGAAAAGTAATGCCATGAAGCCTACAATATTAAAATTCTTTAAAATATTGTCCTCTTAAGTCGAGATTACACTTGGTAAAGTCACGCGCAGCTATACTATGGTTGTTGGACCAATGGGAAATGAGCGCAACCGGCAAAGGACTACGCTTTCACAGAATATCAGCGTAAAATAGCAGCTTAATGCGGCTGTGTTTCGTATGATGCGTGTCGTGAAACAGAGACGCTGTTCACTGGAAACGAATCATTATATCAAAGTCCTCACAGTGCATCCGCATTTTGTTTCTCAATCGAAAATAAATGTATATGTCCATTGGCTATATCCACTTATAATCAAGTAGAATGTGTTATTGTTTGCCGCCCTTACTAAGCTGTAAGTGTTTGTGTTCGTGTTTGTAGAAATATACGCGGCCTTTGGATTGGCAAGTAACTGTTCACAAAGAAGGCTTTGGGGGCTTTTGTGTTGTCATGGTGAAATTTACAATTGTCACTAATGTCTGATCTATCACTCCGGATATTTGCCCGTAGGTTGCACCAAGGATGAAGTTGTCATTTTGAAATAAAGTTGGCATAATCGAAGTGCATAATATTTTAATCCATTAATCTTTTTAAGTTTACACTTGAAACATAATGTCAATTTAATTTATTTTACTTATGCATTTATTTCTACTACAAAATCTGTCTTATTATTATTGTAAATAGTAGATAAGCTTCGCTAAACACAGTTTGTCTCAATGCCGGATCTGCTATTTTATAAACTATCACAAAAAAAAAGAATACCTAATACATAAAATATACCTAGTTTCGAGTATGTTACAGTAATCTTAATAAATTACGTGTCACGTTGTTTGTTCGCGATGGACTCCTAAACTACTTAGCCGATTTTAATCAAATTTGCACACCGTGTGCAGTTTAGTTCAACTTGAGAGATAGGATAGTTTTTTTGCCCATGAGTGATCTACAATTTCGTTTTTTTTACAAATTTAAGGTGTTTTAATAGGACGTGACAAAGGGTCGTCGAAAAGGGCAGAACAACGTCTGCCTGGTAAGTTAGTAAAACTATATAAACCAAAACAATTTCAAGTCTAAGTTAAGAACTGTCTTAGTTGCTTCCGATTTGACATATTTCATTATTTAATAAAAAAATCTTAAATAACAGCGTATATTATAACTAAAAAATGACTACACTGTCGTGTATTTTTTGGAAACAATTTTTTTAGCAAGACATGAATGGTAAATTTCACATAAAAATTTAATTGTAAGAAATAAATGAATCATACTTATATTTTTTGAATTTCGGCAATGACATTAAATGCTTGCATTCGATAATTAAAAAATAAAGTGTGACACGAAAAACAATGAATTAGTCGAGTCGCGAGCTGCAATGAGGCATTCATTGTAACCAGAATGTGCAGCGACTACTCTCGCAGCATGTTCAATGACGTTAAGTTTGACGTGCTCAGATCGTTAATGAGATAACACCCAAGTCATAAGTGATGTGAACGTTGCCTTATGGTCCATTTTTGTACTGATAGCAAAAAAATTGTAATATAATTTAAAAAACAAACATCAGATGTAAATAAATTACAAACATAGTCATAATATGCAAAAAACATTGATAAGATTACCTTGGCCGCCCTGAGTCCGTCTGGGTATCAAAATTAAATTTTACTTCTACCAAAGAAGACGAGACGAGAAACGAAAGCACGATCAACGGCTTCACGTGCTCTCGAAGCACGAATGTGATACATCGCGAATTACCTGACTCCGGGCTGTTACTGAAAAAATTTTAATAGAAAAACCCAATAACTGGTTTTAGCATAATCCGGGTGAGATTCAAACTCGGGACCTCATGTTTGATCCATCGCTGTTACGCTCATTGTACCAAAGAGGCAGCCAGTAATATAGAATACAGAAAAATGAATACGAATGACAACGAGAATGTTTGTATATTTAAAATAAGATATGTTTGTAAACATTGTCCTTATATTAGATTAACAAATTATGTAGTAGAACCAAGCTGCAGCTGTATTGTAGTACGAATAGGTCGGCTCCACCGGGGAGAGACCACGCTCTCACAGAACACCAGCTTAAAATAGCAGCTCAATGCTGCTGCGTATGGTCAGGGTAGAGAACCGGAAGCGTCTTTTTACTTGAAACAAGGCATTCCATCTTAGTTTTCAGGGGTGGCAACTCATCTGCATTTGGATTCTTAATCGAGGATAGATATAAATGTCTATGGGCTACGGCATCTACTTACCACCAGGTGGATAGATCGTATGTCAACCTTATTCTATAAAAAAATATTTAATTACTATAACTTTAATTCTTCTTCTTTCTTAAATGACATAAAATCGTTAACTTTTAATTTTCATTTTGTTAAAGCGATTAAAAAAAACCTTAATTTCCGTGCCGACGCTCCGTGAGGGCATCGCTTGTCTATGCGTCTAACCCTTTTTGCCTCTCTTCCCATTAGTTTCTTAATTAATATCCCATGCGCGGGCAAAGTGTGAGTCGAGTCGAATCAATCATAATCACCTGCTATAAAATATTTTTTAATTTCATATCCAAAGATTTCTAAGGCCTGACGTCAATAAGCGACTATAACGTTTACTTACTTTCTAATTGCGTAGTGTTGCCAATGGTTAAGTAGAAAATTATTTTCTTTGGGTCATAAAACAGTTTTTTATTGAAGTACTTAAGAGCTGGGATAGGGAAGGAGAGACCTTTGCCCTGCAATATGACTGGTTAGAATATTAGGTAACAACATGGATGGTTGAAACCGTTGGCTATAATATTAATTAAGTTATAGTATTAATAATGTAATTTGTAGTTCAATCATAGCTTTAAAAAAGTTTGAACGCTTAACTGACAAACAATTCTACGACAAATGCCTGTCGGCAGAAATTCCATTACTGGTGATGTAAAGTAGCATGTGAATCTTGAAGCCTTAAAGTCCGAAGACTGACAATCGATGAGGATGAAAGCTTGCGGATTGAGAACTCAAAGGTCGTGAGTTCGAATTCGTCATCCGACTGCTGTCGTGTACCACTCCCAACATAAGCATTTTAACCTTGCCGGGAGTGGAAGGAATATTAGTAATTTTAAATAGCATTGGTAGTATTTGTTTAACTTGCCGCTTTGAAAATTTATAATCGTGAGGACTTTGATTTTTAAAAGTAGAAAGTTATAGATTTGGGTCTGATTTTGAGAATGCGAGTTTTCATCAGAGCTCGGTTTAAGGTCCTAGGAAGCTGTTCCGACTATTTACGGCTATTTATTTACTTAGTATTATTACTGATATATTTGATTAATTTTAGTAAATTAACTGTTGGTCAGCCACATAAAATAAATAAATAGAAGTTATATTCATTTAAATTTTTTAAATTATAGTTTGTTTGATATTAATTTTGAGTTATTGAGCTCTAAGAGTTCAAAAACCCGCTAAAGCAAACATAATTTGTGAGGTTCCTCCGTAATAGCTCAATCTATCCCTAACCGGAGTAAGGATATACTTACGAGAGGTTTGTCCAACAATGGACTACCGCAGATAATGGTGATCATTTAGGTTCAAAATCCAATCATGATTTAATAAGTGTTTTCTTATTATTCTCTGCCAGCGCTTAATTATAGTTCCACCTGATGGTAAGTGGTGATGTAGCTTAAGATGGTGAAGCGCACTGATTTAACAAAATCCTATTCACTTTTGCCTTGAAGATACTCACCCTGTAATCGGATGGAAAGACAGAAATTAGTGTTCTGCCAATGATGAGTCGGTCATTACACTGATCACTAAAGATTATCCTCTCTCTTTCATAAATTGATGTATGAGGATAATGAGTACTCATTGATATTTAATAATGATTTAAAAATCGTTAAAAATATTAATTTTCTGAATTACATAAAGGTAATCAGCGTACTTAACCCACCGGGCTATCTGTCGTTACAGCCCGTAAAAGTCCTCAGCTGAAAATAGGTCTTATAGATTGCCATATAGAGCGCATTTTACCATAGTTTTCGCGCTTGGCAGGCAACTTCACAACCGCAGTATTTTATTATTTTAAGTTATAATCTGGGGAATGCTGCTGCCCATGTCCTATTTCCGTTTTCCTTGTATTTCCCACGTGCACTTTCTTGACTCTTTTCAAGTTATTTATTCTGATCCTCGTCCTACGTAGTCACTCTCCTTCTCTGGAGATGATGAACACATAACGCCATAAGAGGCGACTGTGTCATTGCCTTGCCGAGGACGTGTCAAAGTGTCATTGGAAAATGTCGTGGTAAATGTGACTCGACACAGTCATGCTCCAGATCCAGCTAAAAATGAAGCAAAAAAATCTGTGTCTAATATGAAAAGGCGAGCAGCGGACACCCTTGAGAAACCAAGGCAGTTGATTCAAGGATCGACAAGGGGGGATAAATTTGGAAGCATCAGTCCATTTGCCATCGTACAATGCATCTCAGAGAACTGTTGAGCGTATTCGGCAAAGGCGTGAAGTGTCGTGCCCAAACCCAGGCTCTGTTGCCGATATTAATATTCCTGTTGCACTACAAGTCACTTCAAGAAATCTAAATTTCTTGTTATGGGATTCTGGACAGAATGATCCTCATCGCATCTTCATGTTTGGTACTAAAGAAAATTTGGAAGTTTTAGAGGAGCACCGGCACTGGCACGTAGATGGAACCTTTAAAGTAGCCCCACAATTATTTTTACAAGTATTTACCATTCATGCATTGGTAGATAACCGTTCTATTCCATTGATTTACGTGCTTCTACAGGATAAACGAGAAGAAACATATGTTCGAGTGTTTCAAAAATTGATGGAGTTGAAACCCACTTTAAATCCAATAAGCTGCTTATCCGACTTCGAGAAAGCGATCCAAAATGCAGTTTGCCAGGTATTTCATGGTGTTCAGGTGATGGGTTGTTTATTCCACTTAGGACAGTGTTTATGGAGGAAAATCCAAGAGCTACATCTTGTAGAAGAATATCGCAATGACGAAAATGTGAGAATGCATTTGAAAATGTTACTAGCGTTATCTTTTGTCCAAGAGGGCGACGTAATCACTGCTTTTGAGGAGCTAACCGAAAGCTGTCCACGATAAATTGATGCAGTCATCGATTACTGGGAAGATACTTATATAGGACGGCATAGAAGAAATCGGAGAGCAGATCCAAAATTTCCTATTCATGTATGGAATGTTCATAATAGAGTGCACCAGGGCCTTCCGCGTACAAACAACTCTGTAGAAGGATGGCATCATGCTTTCTAACACACCGTTGAGTGTCACCATCAATGTATTTTCAAATTAATAGACCACTTCAGGAAGGAACAAGACCGGGTAGAAATAGAGTTGGAACGTTTTCGAGCCGGCTTCAGAAATCCCGAAGCTTCTAAAAAGAAGTATGTGCAACTTAATCGTCGATTGGAAACTCTTATGGGAAATTATAACAACGACGACCTTTTACCGTATCTCCGTAGAATTTCCAACAATCTGACATTATAAATTGATATATTATTATATAACTTCATTTATCTTTATTTTATAATAATTATTAATAATTGTAACTTTTGTAATTAATAACCTTTGACGAATATAGTTTGTAGAATTTTGTTTGTAAATATACATTATAATATAATTTTATACTTACATTTATTTTTGTTTTTATTTCGTGTGTAGACGATGCAATAGTTTTGTTGAAAACAAAATATACATAAAATGAACCAAAAAAAGTCACGTAAAGTATTAACATTCGTTTTACACCACTTACAATTTTTTCAATAATTTCTTGCTAAAACTCACAATAGAAAAGTTTCCCATATATCGCCAACTGAAGTAGATACACGGTATAAGTATAGTTATAAATTCTATAGATATGTATGGTATTTATTTTGACTTGGGCTGTTTTGTCGGGGGCTGTTTTGACGGTGGCTGTTTTGTCGGTGGGCTATTTTGTCGGGGCTGTTTTGTCGGGGGCTGTTTTGTCGGGGCTGTTTTGACAGGGCACCGTCATTGAGACAGACAGACAGAGTCAGTCTCTAGAATCATTACAGCTCATGATTGTGTTGTGTGTTCTTTAGGTTTTTTTTTAAATTTAATATAATTTCTTTATTGCCGTAAAATGAAGTATTCATTCAAGTAGGATACGTGAACTCGAAAAAAAGTTGGAAGTTGCACTCTAACGTAAAGGCTTTACAGTGTTTTTAAATTGACTTGAACAGCACTTGCCGTGTTTAATTTTTATTGCGACTTAAATTACAGCAGACGTGAAGTTTTGCGATATTTCTAAAATCATTTTGCGTTTAATAAAATGCAACTTTATTAAACTGCTATTTATGAAACAGTTAAATTCGGTTTGGCGATTCGTGTAATACAATGTCGGATTTTTACTATTAAAGAGCTCTGAGCAGTATTTAAATTTCAGTTTTTGAAATGAAATCAACCAGTGACGGTCATTAAAGAATGATTTTTGATAAATTATGATTATTTTGTAATAGATTTTGACTGTGATAACAAACGATTTTAACGTTGCAGCCATATTATGGTTGTAGCACGAATGAGTCGTCTCTATTTGGGTAGGACCACGCTCTCACAAAATACTAGCGTAAAATAGCAAATTAATACTGCCATAGTGGTATGGTGGGTGTAGAGAACCGGAGACCCTTTTTACTGGAAACGAGCTATTCCATCTTAGTCCTTAGGGGTGGCGACGCATCTGCATTTTGATTCTTAATCGAAGATAGATGTCTATGGTCAACAGCACCCATTTATCATCAGATTTTTTTATCGAATAAGGGTACTCATTTGTCACCCATTCAAAAAAAAATCTATATTATATAAATCTTCTGCTGGATATAACCCTTCCGGCTCTTATGAATGATTTCTAAGCAGTACACAGTTACAATTTTTTTTTTGCGCCCGAAGCAATTAAAGGGCTACCCTATACGTAGGGAGGCGGAAAATGCATTACGCATACCACGATAGCCGGTCTATCGTGGTTATGAGGGGCTCACTGTCCTACCGGGGACCCTAAGTGATACCCACTAAAAACCGCCTTTGGGGACAGGCAGCCGGCTGATCAAGCTGTATTGTGCCTTATCATGAGCGACCCTCTTTTGGGAAAAGAGGGCGCAGGCGGCTAAGTGCCGCTGAGGGAGTGCCTACAAAGGCAAATTAATATTAGTTATTACAATAATTTAATTTAATTAGAGTTGGCCTGAGCAGCCAGGAGACAGTTCAGGTCGTTTGACAGTTTATTAGGCGGGTCCGAGAGAGAGTTTCTCGGCCTGCGGACACGATAGCGAGAGGGGGGGTGGGGCTGCATAAGAAGCTGCCTCACAAATTAAATGGTTTGGGTGCGACTCTGATGCTTTGAAGAAGTTCTCAGAGAGTTTTTTAAAATATTGTTGAATTGTTGGGAGCTCTAAGTCCCGATGAAGGTCGGCATTACGGACGTACCAAGGTGCGTTCGCAGCTCGACGACAGAAGACGTTCTGAACTATTTGGAGTTCGTTTAAAATTTTAGGGTTTGCGTGGGCAAAGACGGGGCCCGCGTAGGAACAGTTACAACATCAGCCGTGCTTCATATAGGCAGTGCTTACACTGCTGTTTTGGTCTGAAGTGTATAGAGAGCCTAGATTCATCTCATCTTGTCCTCAGAGGTGACAACGCATGTGTAGCCTTCATTGTTTGAAGTTTGCAGCACGTATCCACGGGCTACAGTAGCTACTTACCATCAGGTGGACTCTTTATGTTTGCTTATTAAATCAGGTTTGTAAAATAAAAACACAAAAAAAATTTTTCACTACTTAAAAGATTATTTCATTCACTAATTTTGGCACGAAATCCTTAATATGAATCATATTCTCATATTTCATCAAACTAAGCCATATGTAAGATATGATTCACGTACCGCATCTATCAAACACTGGAAACTGTCCGGTTGATTCATTTATCAAGTTGATGTTAATGACAGACAGATCTTAGATGGGATGTCGTATTATGCATATTAATTAGCACTGATTCAAGCTTGACCATCTTGACCTTTATAAGATTGATTTAAACGGAAAGAGGTTTGCGGTTTTGGAAGGCTTCCACTTCAAACTTTTATTATTCGCAGATTTTTTTGTCTTAGTCATAACTTTATTTAACCATTCTCTAAACTTTTTTTTAAAAGCAAACTAGTAATGGTATTTCACATTTTAGACTTTTACTATCTTCCAAAAAAGGTGATATTATTATATTTTTACGTTTCAAAAGAATAAGAAAACGCTTTGAAATTTGAGAGCATATCTGTGCTACAAGAAATTTGAAAAATATTTTTTTAATCTATCTATTGCTGCAGCACTGTGTTCGAAAGCAAAAATATTCCATTGGTCTTGTCTGCAAAAGCCTTCTCGCAAAAATCGTGGACGCTCTTTACACTTCCATTTCGGTCTTAATATTCACCAGAAATTGCACCAGTTATTGGTTTTATTGTTGTTGTTGTTAGACAGAGAGAGAGAGAGAGAGAGAGAGAGAGACTGATAATACCTATGAAAATATGAAAAAAACTTCATAACGTATTCGCCTCTTCAATACAGGACTAATTATATATATTTTTAAAACAAAGATGTGGCTACTACATCTGCTTGTTATTTTTTGTTATACTATTTTATATTTATTAAGTTTCACATATATTTGTGAATGAAATTCTGTACCGCTGATTATTCGCTTAAATTTTAAATTAAAATAGGACCTTTAAACCCATTTTTTGAATCCGACATTCACGAGCGGGAAATTCTATGCCTGCCAAATCAGAGCGGCTTGTGCGGTTGAGCTGATTAATAACAAGGGCGCAGGCTGCGTGGGAAAATAATTTGTCATTTAATTTGGTACGCTACGGGGCGCCACCTGCGGTGTCAGCGCACGTAAGCGCCAGTAGAATAATTAGTCGATAATTTGTTCACTTTATTTCGTATAAATATTGCACTTTAACTTCCTGCCTATTAATTAAGTGGTGGCGTTTTGTAAAAGAGAGGGCAAACGAGCAAGCGGCTCGCCTGATGGTAAGGGTCGAACGCCACACACACAATATTTAATAATTCCCCTGGTATTGTAGGTGCGTTGACGGTCTTTTAAAAAGGAGAGGGTGTAGTATCGGTCCGTAAAAATCTCTATCTCTCACTCTGTCTCTCTCTCCGTCTCTTTCTCTATCTCTTCCTCTCTCTCTCTCTCTGACTGTCTCTCTTTCTCTGTCATTCTCTCTCTGACTCTCTATATCTCTTTCGCCCTCTCTCACTCTCTCTTTTACGCTGTCTCTCTCACTTTCTCTTTCTTAATCGCAATAAAATGAAAGTTAAAATAAAAAAAAAATGACGACTTGAGAGAATTCATTACCCCTTTTTGTCTCCGTCCATGTGGTCTCGTTCATAGAAAGATGCTTATGGCTTCCATGTACATGATTACCATATCATATTATCGTCTTGACGGCTCCGTGGCGCAGTGGCATAGCAATGAGTTACAGTGCTAATGACCGCGGGTTCGAATCCCGCACAGAACAAGTATTTGTATGGCTGAATGTTTGCCCTTGTGAAATCTATATTTGTAAACTACCTCCACGATACAGAAGAAAATCCTAGTGTGGAGGTAACGTTTTTAAAATAAAGAGATAAAGAGAAAGAGATATTATGATATTATGTATTCCAAACAGACCTATGTATTTATAGTTATTTGTACAAATGTATATGTATGTATGTATATGTTTGTATATATGTGTATGTATAGTTTATATTTGAATAGATTTATTTTATTAGTAAAATGTATATATTACGAAGTTAATTATCATTATAATTTTGTTATTATTTTATATTGTACTACGAATTCTCACCACACCATAGGTCGACTGGTAGAGAATGCCTCAAGGCATTAAGTCCTCCCTTTGAATTCTTTTGTTTTAAGGAGTACAATAAAGAATAAATAAATTTATAAAATATAGAGAGCGACATAACTATCTCTTTACATACGCATAATTGCCCGGGGTCTGGTACTCCATTCCTCAATTCATCTGTAGAAAGTGATATATAAGGCAAATGCTTCCTACAACGGTAGGTCCACGACCGGAA